CAAACTATTTCCTCTTATGGTTTTGAAGAGAACATAGCTGACTAGTGCATTTATTTGAAGAAGTGTGGGAGCCAATTTATTTTTCTGGTGCTATATGTCGATGACATACTTTTGGCTACGAATGACCATAATTTACTGAAGGACACCAAGAAACTACTTTCAAATAACTTTGAGATGAAGGATTTGGGAGAAGCTGCTTTTGTGTTGGGCATTGAGATTCAGAGAGACCGAGCTCGAGGTCTTCTAGGCCTATCACAGAAAACATAACATTAGCTAAAGGAGATTTAAAGGAGCATTGCCCAAGAATAAAGAAGAAGAAGATGAGATGAGGAATAAGTCATACGCTTCTCTAGTTGGAAGCATTATGTATGCACAAGTGCGTACAAGGCCAGACCTAGCCTTGTGCATTAGCAAGATGGGGAGATTTTAGTTAAATCCAGGAATGCAACATTGGATAGCTGGAAAGAAGGTTCTGAGGTACCTACAGAGAACAAAGACTTATATGTTGATTTACAGATGCACGTTTCGAGTTCAACCATGTTTTCAGAATACATAGCTTGCTATGAAGCCACTTCTCATGCAATATGGCTAAGGAATTTTATTAAAGACATTACGGTGATAGACTTGATTTCTAGACCAATACAGATGTATAATGACAACATTGCAGTTGTTTTTCACTGCATGAACAACAGGATGTTGTCTGAACTTCAGCATATTGACAGAAAGTATTTGATAGTGAGGGAGAAGGTAGCGGACAAACTAGTCAAGTTTGATCATATTAGAACTCAAGATATGATTGCAAATCCGTTCACAAAGTTTTTGCCTTCAGAAGCTTTTCTGAGACATGTTGAGAGCATGGGACTTTTCCTAGCTTTGATGCTGCAATCTAGTGGGAGTCTTATTCCCATTATGATATTTTACTAGTTTGTCTGTTTTGTTTATTTTGCTGTCTTCTGGATTGAGGGATTTGCATTTAAGGATGTTAATTTGGTTGACAGTTTTATTTAAATAAATTCTTCCATTTTGACTATTTAGTTGTTTAAACTTATTATGCAACTTTGTTTATGCATGTGAGTTTATGGTCTCTTTTGAGATACTATTGTTTTTAATAACATTGCGGATTGACTCTTGCTAAGTCGTAAAGGGGTGCTTGTACTGAAATGCATAAAGTTTCACACTAAGGGTCAGTACATATTCAGGTTCACATTGTAGGTGCTTCATGTGTTTTGAGATTCCATCGTGTGATTATAGATGACATGTTTTAATAGAGAGCAGCGCTTTTCTATAGTTCGTTTTGTTTAATCACTTTTCACGGTAGCTTGAGGGGAAGGACTTAACTGTTTAAACTCATGGCCAATAAAGATTATTAAACCTTTCAGAATATAGAAGCTTAGTGTTCTAGTGCTTGATCTAGTGGGAGAATGTTATGTTTTCCTATTTAAATCGGTGCACTAGATACCAAGTCATATCAGGTTTAATAAGAGTTTAAATTAAGTTGTACCTTGAGACCCAAAACCCAATGAAATAAGGAAGGGTTTTGAGGCCTATTAAGGGGTCCTATTATATTTCCATTTATGCGTGAACCAATTAAGTGGGCTTGGAAGATAAGTTTCATCCAACCAAAATATTACATCTGTAAAATAAAACTTAAACTAGCAGGAATTTATAATTCAACACAATATTGATAGAGAAAAAACAAATATGCATAAAACAATACCTTTATCGGGACTGTTGGTAATTTTTAACAACAATATTAAAACCTAGCAAGTGCGCAAATCATATGATAGTATAGTAAGCAAGCAAGGGTCGATCCCACATAGATTGTGATCTAAAGAGATTTTTATCAATGTCACACAATGCAAACTTACACAATTAAACACGAAAACAAAATAAAGATTGAAACCACAATGACTTCCACACACACGCCAACACCAAGGGGGTTTAGATTTGATTTTGTAAATAAAACAAACACGGGAAAGAAAACAAAACAAAATTTAAATTAGAGTTTAAGAGAAATTGGTTTAAAATCAATCAAGAACAATAGCTAGGATTCACTATCCACCTCCAAACAATCAATCAATCCATAAACAACAATAGATAATCAATTTCTAGCAAGCATATGATGACGACACTCACAACAAATCGTGGCATTTGACTCGAGTTGTATGATTCCCTCTTAAGTGTATGTAAAGTGTATGTCATTTACATCAATACGTATATTCTTAATTGAAATCTAGTATGACATTTACTCAAATTAACAATCAAGAATCCATTAAGATCGAATAGAATATGAGTGTCACAAAAACCCTAAAACATATCATTTGTTATTAGGAATTCAAGAATCGATTTCTCATAACTAGTTCTTAACCCAATTATTCTTTGCAAACAATATGGCAATTGACCTATGTTCTACAACAATTTAATTCCAATACTTGCTTCCAAGTTAGCTACTCAAAGAAACAAAATATCAGAATTCACATAACATAGAGAAACCGAAATCATCACGCTTGTAGAAACTGAAAATCCATTCAAACTTGTTTATAAAATTGAAATCATGTTTAGGGCTTCAAGATTAAGCCCTAACTAACAAGAAATCATTTACTCATGTTCTTGGATGAACTCAAAAATAAATACATAAGAACTGAAAATTAAAATAAGGAAGGAAAAGAAAGAACTTGTTGGCAGCTTTCCCCTCTTGTGCGGTTAATCTCCTTAGGACGTGAATTCTTTGTTGGGGGGCCTTGGCTAGCCTTTTATATCACTTATATCAGAGTTCTAAACCCTAAGATTGACTGAAAATTCGGCCAAGAAGTCTTGGTAAACAAGGAATCTAAATAGGAAAGTAAGAATCACAATTCCTAGTACTCCATAAGGAAATACAGCTCAGCCCAATTGTCACACGATTTGGGGATCTTTGGCCTTCAATAAAAATCATTAAAAATATATTTTAGAAAGATAAATGTCTTATCTTTCCAACCATATACAGCATGTAATTTAGAAAATTCGGGAAGGCTTCCGTTTCTTCACATTCACGTAACATGTACGAAACTGTCCTATCTGCACGTGGGCTAAATTTACTTGTAATACTGTACCAATTGGCTTGGTAGAAAATTCTAGAAAAATCACAGATTGAACTTCAAGATGTTAGCTTTCATCTCCAATTGGCCTTGCACTAAAATTCCTCTGAAAAGTTGATTTTCCCTTAAAAACCTTCTAAGAGTGCTGAAAAGCTGAAAATTAGAAAAATAAAGTAATAAGCCCCTTTTAAATCTAATTTTCTTACAAAACCTAAGTGAAAAGAGTAGTCCGACTTTTGTCCCCTAGATCACTCCGACTTTTGTCTAAAAAAAGATGTAGTCCCTTGTACTTCAGTCTCTGACAGATTATCAATACCAATCTTTACAGAATATCAATACATATCTTTACTGATTATCAATTCCCAAGGGTAATTTTATTGTTTATAGTAACTATCTCATTTATAAATGCATAGACAATTGTCTAATAGAGGGATACGAAAGAGAGACTAATCTAATGAAGTTAGATTCATATCAGACCTTTCTCTTCTATAAAATTAAGTATTCATGGTTATAGGCTACATAGCCCTAGTAAGGTAAATTAGTTCATGACAAAAGAGAAGATAAACAAAATAATTGTTGTCATAAAACCGATTTGGCAGATGGATTTGATCTCTGATTTTCCACAGCAACACATTCGTAAGCTCCAAAAGCACCATGGCCCTCTCTCTCTCTCTCTCTCTCTCTCTCTCTCTCTCTCTCTCTCTCTCTCTCTCTCTTATATTTGTGGGTGTATTGAAATATGTTGGAAAAGTATATGGTATCAAGATGGTCCATAGAGAGAGCTTAGGGTGACCTTATATAGTTTAAAAAACTAAACCCTACTCTAAAAAGGTATGGAAAAACTCTCCTAAAGCAGAACAAAATCCCAAACAATTAAGGAAACAAACTTGGAAAGAATCATTCTTTGTCTTGGAAGTGCATTAGCCAACTGGCATGCATATTTTTGGGTCTTTCCATTTCCTAGAAAATTCTGCAAAAATATGAGAACTTTAGCTTGATCTCTAAGCTTTCCAAGCATATATCACACGCCACTAGAAAAAATCAGAAATTTCTTCAAATCTTCAACCTTCCACAGTAGTGCAATTTTGACGGGATTTCAATTTAGGTTGTGTTGACTTGCTAGTCTTGGGCATTTGGCTTGGTAGAAAATTATGAAACTTTGACACAATGATCCTTAATGTCTTAGATTTCTTCTCCTCCAATTGGCTTTGTGCTAAAATTCATTCGAAAAGTCGATTTTCAGTCAACCCTTCCAACAGCGCATAATAGCTGAAAATAAGAAAAGTAAGGTAATAATGCTATTTT